GAAGGGCTTGGGAGCTGATGCTCATGATGCAGGGCTAGAGCTGGCGCTCGCGATGCTCACCACTGGAATGAAAGGCTTGGGAGCTGATGCTCATGATGCTGGCCTGTCTGGTTGGATGCCATTAAGGGCTTTGGAGCTGATGCTCATGGAGCTGGCGCTGGCGATGCTGACCACTGGAATGAAGGGCTTGGGAGCTGATGCTCATGATGCTGGCCTGTCTGGTTGGATGCCATGAAGGGCTTGGGAGCTGATGCTCATGATGCAGGGCCGTTCGATCGGATGCAGTGAAAGGCTTGGCTAGAGCTTGCGCTCGCGATGCTGACCCCTGGAATAAAAGGCTTGGGAGCTGATGCTCATGATGCTGGCCTGTCTGGTTGGATGCCATGAAGGGCTTGGGAGCTGATGCTCATGATGCCGGGCCGCTCTATTGGATGCAATGAAAGGCTTGGCTAGAGCTGGCGCTTGCGATGCTGACCACTGGAATGAAAGGCTTGGGAGCTGATGCTCATGATGCTGGCCTGTCTGGTTGGATGCCATGAAGGGCTTGGGAGCTGATGCTCATGATGCAGGGCCGCTCGATCGGATGCAGGGAAAGGCTTGGCTAGAGCTGGCGCTTGCGATGCTGACAATGGAATGAAAGGCTTGGGAGCTGATGCTCATGATGCCGGCATGTCTGGTTGGATGCCATGAAGGGCTTTGGAGCTGATGCTCATGACGCAGGGCCACTCGATCGGATGCAGTGAAAGGCTTGTCTAGAGATGGCGCTCGCGATGCTGACCACTGCAATGAAAGGCTTGGGAGCTGATGCTCATGATGCTGGCCTGTCTGGTTGGATGCCATGAAGGGCTTGGGAGCTGATGCTCATGATGCAGGGCCGCTCGATCGGATGCAGTGAAAGGCTGGCTAGAGCTGGCGCTCGCGATGGTGACAACTGGAATGAAAGGCTTGCGAGCTGATGCTCATGATGCTGGCCTGTCTGGTTGGATGCCATGAAGGGCTTGGGAGCTGATGCTCATGATGCAGGGCCGCTGGATCGGATGCAGTGAAAGGCTTGGCTAGAGCTGGCGCTCTCGATGCTGAGCCGCTGTTATGCAAGGCTTGGGAGCTGATGCTCATGATGCTGGCCTGTCTGGTTGGATACCATGAAGGGCTTGGGAGCTCTGGCGCTCGCGATGCTGACAATGGAATGAAAGGCTTGGGAGCTGATGCTCATGATGCCGGCATGTCTGGTTGGATGCCATGAAGGGCTTTGGAGCTGATGCTCATGACGCAGGGCCGCTCGATCGGATGCAGTGAAAGGCTTGTCTAGAGATGGCGCTCGCGATGCTGACCACTGCAATGAAAGGCTTGGGAGCTGATGCTCATGATGCTGGCCTGTCTGGTTGGATGCCATGAAGGGCTTGGGAGCTGATGCTCATGATGCAGGGCCGTTCGATCGGATGCAGTGAAAGGCTTGGCTAGAGCTGGCGCTCGCGATGCTGACCACTGGAATGAAAGGCTTGGGAGCTGATGCTCATGATGCTGGCCTGTCTGGTTGGATCCCATGAAGGGCTTGGGAGCTGATGCTCATGATGCAGGGCCACTCGATCGGATGCAGTGAAAGGCTTGGCTAGAGCTGGCGCTCGCGATGCTGACCACTGGAATGAAAGACTTGCGAGCTGATGCTCATGATGCTGGCCTGTCTGGTTGGATGCCATGAAGGGCTTGGGAGCTGATGCTCATGATGCAGGGCTAGAGCTGGCGCTCGCGATGCTCACCACTGGGATGAAAGGCTTGGGAGCTGATGCTCATGATGCTGGCCTGTCTGGTTGGATGCCATTAAGGGCTTGGGAGCTGATGCTCATGGAGCTGGCGCTGGCGATGCTGACCACTGGAATGAAGGGCTTGGGAGCTGATGCTCATGATGCTGGCCTGTCTGGTTGGATGTCATGAAGGGCTTGGGAGCTGATGCTCATGATGCAGGGCCGTTCGATCGGATGCAGTGAAAGGCTTGGCTAGAGCTTGCGCTCGCGATGCTGACCCCTGGAATAAAAGGCTTGGGAGCTGATGCTCATGATGCTGGCCTGTCTGGTTGGATGCCATGAAGGGCTTGGGAGCTGATGCTCATGATGCAGGGCCGCTCGATCGGATGCAGTGAAGGGCTTGGCTAGAGCTGGCGCTTGCGATGCTGACCACTGGAATGAAAGGCTTGGGAGCTGATGCTCATGATGCTGGCCTGTCCGGTTGGATGCCATGAAGGGCTTGGGAGCTGATGCTCATGATGCACTGCCGCTCGATCGGATGCAGGGAAAGGCTTGGCTAGAGCTGGCGCTTGCGATGCTGACCACTGGAATGAAAGGCTTGGGAGCTGATGCTCATGATGCTGGCCTGTCTGGTTGGATGCCATGAAGGGCTTGGGAGCTGATGCTCATGATGCAGGGCCGCTCGATCGGATGCAGTGAAAGGCTGGCTAGAGCTGGCGCTCGCGATGGTGACAACTGGAATGAAAGGCTTGCGAGCTGATGCTCATGATGCTGGCCTGTCTGGTTGGATGCCATGAAGGGCTTGGGAGCTGATGCTCATGATGCAGGGCCGCTGGATCGGATGCAGTGAAAGGCTTGGCTAGAGCTGGCGCTCTCGATGCTGAGCCGCTGTTATGCAAGGCTTGGGAGCTGATGCTCATGATGCTGGCCTGTCTGGTTGGATACCATGAAGGGCTTGGGAGCTGATGCTCATGATGCAGGGGCCGCTCGACCGGATGCAGTGAAAGGCTTGGCTAGAGCTGGCGCTCGCGATGCTGACAATGGAATGAAAGGCTTGGGAGCTGATGCTCATGATGCCGGCATGTCTGGTTGGATGCCATGAAGGGCTTTGGAGCTGATGCTCATGACGCAGGGCCGCTCGATCGGATGCAGTGAAAGGCTTGTCTAGAGATGGCGCTCGCGATGCTGACCACTGCAATGAAAGGCTTGGGAGCTGATGCTCATGATGCTGGCCTGTCTGGTTGGATGCCATGAAGGGCTTGGGAGCTGATGCTCATGATGCAGGGCCGTTCGATCGGATGCAGTGAAAGGCTTGGCTAGAGCTGGCGCTCGCGATGCTGACCACTGGAATAAAAGGCTTGGGAGCTGATGCTCATGATGCTGGCCTGTCTGGTTGGATCCCATGAAGGGCTTGGGAGCTGATGCTCATGATGCAGGGCCACTCGATCGGATGCAGTGAAAGGCTTGGCTAGAGCTGGCGCTCGCGATGCTGACCACTGGAATGAAAGACTTGGGAGCTGATGCTCATGATGCTGGCCTGTCTGGTTGGATCCCTTGAAGGGCTTGGGAGCTGATGCTCATGATGCCGGGCCGCTCTATTGGATGCCATGAAAGGCTTGTCGAGAGCGGGCGCTCACGCTGACCACTGGAATGAAAGGCTTGGGAGCTGATGCTCATGATGCTGGCCTGTCTGGTTGGATGCCATGAAGGGCTTGGGAGCTGATGCTCATGATGCAGGGCCGCTGGATCGGATGCAGTGAAAGGCTTGGCTAGCTGGCGCTCGCGATGGTGACAACTGGAATGAAAGGCTTGGGAGCTGATGCTCATGATGCTGGCCTGTCTGGTTGGATGCCATGAAGGGCTTGGGAGCTGATGCTCATGATGCAGGGGCCGCTCGATCGGATGCAGTGAAAAAGGCTTGGCTAGAGCTGGCGCTCGCGATGCTGACCACTGGAATGAAAGGCTTGGGAGCTGATGCTCATGATGCTGGCCTGTCTGGTTGGGAGCTGATGCTCATGATGCTGCCCTGTCTGGTTAGATGCCATGAAGGGCTTGGGAGCTGATGCTCATGATGCAGGGGCCGCTCGATCGGATGCAGTGAAAGGCTTGGCTAGAGCTGGCACTCGCGATGCTGACCTGGCGATGAAAATTGGTGCTCATGATTCTGGTGCACCCAAGCCTTGCATTGCAACCAACCCGTCCAGCATCATGGGCATCAGCTCCCAGGCCTTTCATTCCAGCTGTCGTTCCATCGGGGCCAGTATCATGGCCTGACCATGGATGAGGGGCCATCTATGCATATGTGACCACCATCGTGAGCATCAGCCTCCAGGCACTCCCTGTGTTGCTTAGCCGCTGTGGACGGGGTCGTGGTAGGATAGGTTGCTGCCACCTCGCGGGCTGTGGATTTTCTTTCGGAGCATCGGCCTTGCGTTGTTGTTGGCAAGGTGAGCGACGGCCCCAGGTTTTCAAAATCAATGCCAATTCCTGAATCTGAGATTTGCCTGGATTGTGCAACCTTCGACGATGATTCCACGGTGTCAGCATGTGTTGTGGCAACCGCTCTTCGGGTCTGTGCCGACGGAGTTTGGAAAGCATGAAGTTTCACGGTACGTGAATTCGGGTTGAAGACTTCGCTGTCGTGAGTCTTGTGAGACGTGCGTGTGGGAATTCCGAACGCATCTCAGGCAGTTGCACCACCGGGAGGAGGCGGAAGCACCACAACAGTCTATGCTTTCGACGATCGTCCGGACTGCGCAGTTGCCTGCAAATGCACGCTGCTGTTGGCTTGCCTGATCTGCATATTCGCGCCTCGCCAGGAGCAGAGCAATGCACAGGCCTGGGTAGAAGAGGTCGGAGGTGTGGCCACCTCTGTTCGTCGTGGACTCGGCTGGCCCTTTGGCATGGCCTCGAAGTGGCAGGCACCACTTGTTTGTAGTCATTGCCACTGACAGGCACTATCGAATGTGCTGATTTGCTGCGCCTGTTTGGCCAAGCAGTGCGAGACCTTAGTTTTGTGGCCCGCAGATTCGAGTTGAATGAGCACCGAAGAGGTATACATGAAGATCGATGTGGAATCCAGTACCATCGATTGTTTGGACTCCCTGGTGCAATCTCAAAGAGATGCTCCCGGCCGCGCTCCTGGACTTGAGAGCCGAGCTTTCTGACGAGCCAGTTCCGCTAGAGAGGCCGGCAGGCCGTTCTGCCGAAATTCCTTTCCATGGAGCTGGAGGCCAGCAACCTTTGCAATTTGCCGCAATGGTTTGCGTGATTGTCACGTCCTCTCATGAAGGCGGCATCGCTGTTCGATCCCTTCCACAGAAAGTTGACAGAGTTGGGTGTGGAGCCTATTGCACTCGCACTGAATTGCTGATGGGCCTGCGATGGCTGGACCGCTGTCGAATCCGAGGCTACGTCTTCTACAAAGCCTGCCGTCAGTCCGCTCCTCATCGCATCACGTGGAGACTGGCAAAGGCACATCGGCATGTGAGGTATGTCTACTCGCCTTCGCCCTGCGAGCAAGGGCGCTACAGCAGAGAGGCCCGTTTTTCGAGTCTCAGCTTTTCTTTGGCGTTTTTTTATCCGTGCAGGTGCCGGGCTGTGGAAGTGGTCCCTTCGGTGTGGCCGCTGTGGACTACCTCCGTGGTTTGAGGTGACCTCTTTGTGCAAGAGCCGCGGAGCCGCGATGCTGAAGCTGGTCAGGTGGAGCCCCATTGATGAGTTACCAAACGACACGCAGTGGGTAGAGGAGTTTGAGAAGGGCCTCGATTGGCCTTGGCCTTACGTGGGCGATTTGCGGCGCATTGGGATCCCTGGGCGGCCTCAGGTTCGACTTGCATGCCATGCGAGTGGCATAGACAATCGAGTCCGCAAGCGGACAAAAAGGAGCGGCCTCCAACGCTGCAAGTAGCAGCCAAAATGTAGCTGCAGCAGGAATGAATTTGCTGGACTGGCGGGCATCATTGCCCTCTGTCATGTCGAGAGGTGCCTACGGCTTCTACAAGGCCGGCAGCGTGTCCGGCTGCCCGGATCTCCCTGAAAGCGGACTCCCACCGGCGACGGCGCGACCGAGGCCATCGCTGCTGGGAGGAGGAGGCTGCGGAGCGCTCATGGCAGCGAAGCTCAGCGAAGCTCCCTTTGGGACGTGTTTGTGCTTGCGGCGGGGCGCTTTCTCTCTCGCAGGTGGCCAGTGGCATGATGGTGGAGAAGGATCCCCAGGTCCGGATTCACATGGATCCGGCCTCCCGTCAGTCTTGCGCAGTGCTGTTGCCGCCAGTCTGCTTTCCTGCTGGGCACAGCCACCAGTGGCGCTCTGACAGCTGGGATCCAAGGGCCCTTCGCGGATCTCTCAGGATGGTCGTGTGACAAGATGAAGGAGAGTAGTCTGCAAAGGCGGGCATGCTTCCCCGTTTCCTCTCCTCGCGGAAGGCACCTGGACTTGCGGAGGTTGTGGGAAATGCCAAACAAGACAGGCATGTCTCTTGTCGTGCAGAAGGTAATGCCCACTGGCCTTGTGTCGCTGCTTGGGCTCATGGACGCAGCCTCACTCGATCACGATTTTCGTGCAACTAGGCTTTGAATGCACTGACTTCGTAGGCCTTGGCGTACAACTGCATGCAGCTCAGAAAATGGTGGGACCCAGAGGCCGCCCGCACTTGGCATTGTGCAGAGATCTGCCCAAAGGGAATGGCCCGGGCGACTAAGGGATCAGCTGAAAGGACCCCTCTCAAAGGGATCCCGGCAATACTGTTGCCGTGCATGGCCGCCCTCCTTCGGCAGGATTTGCCTTTCCTTGGCAAGCTGAAGGCCTAGGCCAGCTTAGTTACAGTGGATTCAGTTTCTTGGTCGACTGTGTGCGGCATGAAGATTAGTTGATTAGTTGTTTGGAACTGTCAACAGTCATCTGGCTGCAAGACATGCGAAGAAGCCATGCGGATCCGACAATCCTCTTCGAAACAGCAGGAGCAACAGCACCAACAACAAAGACCGCAACAAGAGCAGCACATGCAGCAACAAGTACCTGCAACTGTTGCAGTGCATCATGAGTAGGATTTGGAAGTGGCAGTTGTTGGGAGTGCTTCTTCTGCTGCCGTAGCTACTTCTCTTGTTGATGCTATACACCTATTGGGACGTCTCGTTGTGTGTCGTAGCGTCCCTGGCGTCGGCGGTGTCGGAGTCGTTGTCGTTGTTCTGCTTTGTCTTCTTCTTGTTCTTCTTGGTGGTGCTGCTACTGGTGGTGATGGTGGTGGCCTTGTGGTGGTTTCGTTTCGTTTCACTCGCAAGTGCGGAGTCCAAGCCTCGTGTGCAGCATTCTGTCAGGACGATCTGTGCCAACCCGGCCGTCGTATGACAGCACATACACTTAGGTATGCACGGGATGATCAGATCAAAACTGCCACCGCCCCGGAAGGCCTTTCAGAATGGCAGCTCGAGAGAGACAGCGTGAAATGTGCTGGCCAACTGTACATACAAAGATGTTGTTGTCTGCGTAGAGCAAGCAACTGAGCAAACAAATGATACAGAAGCATAGTGGCTTCTATCCGTCCGTCCGAAACACCATAGCCTATCACCAGTACCGCCGCTGGTCGGGTGCGAGTTTTTCGCAGCTTTGGCGTGGTGCGCAAGCAAGATGATGCTTTCACCACCTCGCCAAGGAAAGGTCGCGTACGCCACGTGCGGTTCCAAAGCCTGACAACGGAAGCTCAGCGTTGTAAAATTATTGAACTAGGCAATTAATCAACTCCCAAGTAATGAGAAGGAAATTGAACAAGAATCATAATGTGCAGCGAGTTCCTTTCTTTCGCTTTTTGGACGTATTTTCATGTGAAAGAGGGGAGCACGCTGAAAGACCTGATTCAATTCTGTACAACGGAAACACGCTTTCACTACATGTGTATCCTGTTCGACAGGCTTAAGGCGGAACGGAGACCTTGTTTACTTCTCCGTTCATTTTCCCCTTCCGGTGAGTTGAGCAGCGGTCGTGGTCGAGGAGGCGGCTGTGGTGGTCTAATCGTCGTCGCAGTCGCAGTAGTCGTGGTCGTCGTCGTTACTAGTGAAAGCGGAAGGTGGTGGTTGCCATGACATTGGCTATGGTGGTGTGTGCGTGTGTGTGTGTGTGTGTGTATTTGAATGTCGGCAGACGGTAGCTAAAGCTAAGGTCAGACAGTCACATGATGCAACGCTTAGCTGAAGCTGTGGCATACACTTGGGCAGTGTCATTGGGGCGTAAGTGGTCGAGCCAAAGCCGTCAGAGCCATGGCGAGTGGCCTGGCTGGCAAAATTCGCCGCGTGACAGAGTCAGACGAGTTTGACTTGAGTGGCTATGACCAGGCCAGGCAGGGATCCGGGGCCTACTCGAGCTTTTGTGTCCACAACACTGTCCAGCTTTGAGACAAGATTCCAGAGAGGTGCGCTGCAACGAGCTTGCGAAGGCTGCTTTCGACGAACCCCTGGCTGTGAAGGCCGGCCAGACTCTTTCTCTGTTGTGTTCATCTTGTCTTTTCTTCGCGCCCTTTGGGGAAGGAGATGGTTCGAATCTCCTTTGTGGTCGGAGGAGGCAAGCTAGTACGCCAGAAATACTCTGACGACCTGCCGAAGCACTTTTGCTCTGCGCTCACACTCGTTGGCTTCCAAGAGGAGCGCTAAGAAGCGCTTCAACACGCGGTGAACGCTCTGAGTAGTGTGCATGGAGAGTCGAGTAAGGCGAGAGTGCTGGAGTCAGCGGGTCACTTCGGAATTACCTTTGGCAGGACAACAGTGCAACCGTGGAGCAAGGATCTGCGGGGAAGTTCAAGTACCACCATGACACGAACAAGAATTTGAAGTTCGTCCACGTTTTCCCGAAGATTTCAGAGGCACTCTTTGGCTGTGCCGAAGCGGTGAAGCTCAGTGAAGCCCATGCAAGCTCTATAGGCAGCTCCAGCGAGAGGGGCCGAACAGGGCGAAGCAGAAGAGGCCGCGGAAGCCACTCCCGAAGAGATGCTGCTTCGCAGCGCCTGGGACAAATTCAGGAGTCGCTGCAGACACACTCCTCCATGAACGTGTATGCTCTTGTGCTCCTCGCGGTTCCGATGGCGAAAGGTGACGATGCAGACTTCCTCCGGCTAATTCAGGCCCAGGTCGTGCGAGCCTCATCTTCTGCAGACAGCAGCCGAGTGTGATCTCGACTTCTGCGACAAAGGTCACGTATGCAGAGAAGAAGAGGCTGCTGGACATCCTGAAGCAGCGGCGAACCTATGTCTCTGGGTTTGCGTCTGCTGCAGTGTCTGCAGAGTCTCAGGCGCATCTCCGACCTGGAGGCTTTCTGCTTGAAGTGAATCTCGAGCAGTGAGGTGGACACGTACAATTTGTGGCTTTGAGGCGATCGAGGCGAAAATGACCCGCCTTGAGCGGCTGGAACCGTCTGAAGAGGCGCTCTTCAACGACGTTGGGGCAGAGGCCTGAAGAGTTGCAAAATTTGGCAGAGGTGCTTGTGTTCCAAACAATAGCCGCCACGCAATGTGGATGTGTCCCAGTTTCATCGCCCATGACCTCGTGAAAGGAGCTGAAGGAAAAGCGTAAAGTTGTGGAGAGCGAGATGAAAGCCATGGTGGACTCGGGACGGCTCACTGCCGCAGAGAGAACCGACCTCCTAGCCTCTTGAAAACAAATGGGTGTTTCGATTTTTCCCTTGCTTGCTCCCCTCCCTGCAACAAGAGCATCCTGCAAAGGAACAGCTGGAGGGAAAGCTTGAAGCGGTCACGGCGGAGATCGCGAAAGCGCAGCAAGATGGGAAAGCCAAGAAGGTACAGGCGCAGCCGTGGTTGGTTCGCGGCCCGCTGTAAAGTGAGCGAGTTTGGTCCTACGCGCAGGCCTTGCAACACCAGCTTGAACTCATGCAGAGCACGAAGGCTTCAGTGAAAGCAGCTGAGCCGGTTGCCCTGCCTCCATTGAAGCACGGCGCGAAAATCCGAGAGTTGCGCCTGAGACCCGAGCTTCTTCGTCGATGCATCAACTCTTAGCATACATCATGTGACACATCTCCGTATCGCAGAAGATATTCGCTCCGCTCTCATTGAGGTATGAAGCTCGCTGAGCTCGCGCAAGTCGAGAAGGCGAGAAGATGCGCCCGCTTGCAACAGTGGCACCGTGTGCTCCTTGCCCTCGCCAGGTCTCGAAAGGCTGGAGCTGAATGCGCAGCCGCCTGAATTTCCTGCTCTTCACTGCATTGCCTGCAACGCAGGGCACTACTCGATGGACGAGCTGAAGAGGCTCGCATGGCATACTCGGAGAGACATCGACACGAGGAAAAGTGCTCAGAGTCACCTGAAGAGGCTGGGGGAGCGTCCGGACATTGAGGAGGCAGTGGAGGAGCTCGAGAAGCGGGCAAGAGGATGGCTGGAAAGCGACGAGGAACGACAGTCTCAGTGCGCCAGAAATTCTGCACCGTGCACGGCAGTCTTTGGGCAGGTCTTCCAGGAGCGGCTGCAGGCCTTGCCGGAGCCTGCACACAGACCTCACCGACTTTGTCCCTGATCTTGAGGCGAACCTTCGCACCGGTCTCAAAAAGGGTACCGGCCGCGGTGGTGGCAGTGGAGGGTGCCTTTGTCACAAATGGATGTTGATCCTGTCAGTGCGAACTTGGACATGGTGCAAAGGTACACCGCCGTCAGCTCTGGGGCACGTCCAGCGAAAGCAAAGGCATCTGGGCCAGCTGTGCGGAATGGCTTCAGCGCTTGGGCATAAGCCGCGAAACTGCGAGTATGCGCGACTGCGGAAGTTATGGCCGTCCATGTCAAAGCGTGTCCGAAGTGAGCGGCGAGAGCCGCTCTACTTCGCCCTGATGCCTTGTACAGATGACATGGGCCGCACGCTCGAAAAAAGGTCTAGGCAGCTGTGTTCACCATGTCAATGGGTATTTCTGTCGTCAGCCTCCGTCGGCGTGCCAGCTTGCGGTGCGGTCAGGCCCGGAGGTGGCTTAGAGCTCCGTGACGCTCTGGTGCCAAGGGAAAAGTGAGTGCCCACGTTGCAGTGGCAGAGTGCTCGCGGTGGGAGAGCTCGTGTTGTTGTTACTTGATCTTGGTTTCTTTTCCGCAGACCCTAGATATTCTCGGAGAACCGGCTGCAGTTCCGCAGACAGCAAGCCCAGCAGTAGATGTACGGCTCGTGCAGGAGCGATTAACTTCACCTTCCAGTGCTATACAAACCAGGCCTGTTCATGTTAAGACTTGCCTGAGCCTTTGCTGGCAGCATCAGCTACTCTACGCTCAGCCATGCACAAGCAGTTCTCCAAAGAAATGGGCAGCACAGAGGCAATGAGCACAAAGCATCTCCGCCCACCCACGAACCTGAACATCCGACAGAAGTTGACAAAGCACTGGTGAAGAAAGTGATCCATCAAAGCCCATGAGCCATGTGAACACAGTGGCAGGGGAAGATGCAGTCCCTTCGGCACCAAGACAGGATGTGCAGTGTAGGGTAAGATGTGCGGCACTATGGTCACAGATGTCCCTTGAAATTTTCGGGTGACCCAGGCACCTTCCGGCGAAGTGCCAGAGTCGGAAGATGAGCTGCTCCATGAATGCGATGTTTACTTGAATCGAATGTACGACCCTCCTGACTTTGTCGGCGATATGTATGTTCTGCAGTATCCCCTGAGACCCAGCTACAGACCTTACGGGGATCAAGGGGTGCTGGACAAAGTCGAGCTAAAGCCGAAGTCTCGCCGTCTCAGATTTGCATACAAGCTGCATCAAAACGATCACTATGCGGAAGAGGACGTCATGCAGGAAAAGTACGAGCAGCGGCATACGCTGAACTCCACTGTCGTAGCAAATCCTGCATGCAGCTATGCTGTGGGCGTCATCCGTCAGGGCCGGATGACACTGACACCTATCCGGGCAGTGAACCAGTTGCGGCCAGACTTCGAAGACTTCGAGAAGCTGAAGAAGACCGCTGATCGGGCGCCCGGACCCCCTGGGGTCGCAGATGGACCCGAAGGGGCCGCCCGCGCGGCGAGGGCATCCGACAGCGAGGAAGAGCCAGGTCCCATGGAGCCAGTGGAGGCTCCAATGGCTCCAGTTCGGGTGGAGTACCTCAGCGGCAAGGGTGCGCAGGCAGATGCACAGATGGCAGCCAAAGCAGCTGACACGGAAGACGCATGGAAGAGGCTCGACTTCTTCGATTCAAGTTCTCCAGAATCTGCGGACATCTACCTGCAACACATCGTCTTCGCTGCTACCGAGGCAGCGGAGGCCGACATGGAAGGCTCTGCACCAGAGCACCCGAAACTTCAACCGCTTGAGCTCGACGGTGACAACGTCTCTTTTCTGAAATCCATGTGTGGGCATGCGGAGGAGCGCAATCGACTTCGGCAATTGCGCCAGAAGGCTTCCTTGAATCAGGATGGGTTAAGTTCGTACGTCCTTAGCAAGATGCCAGCCGAGAGGCAAGTGGAGGCAATTGTGAGGCACTTCGGAGTGGCTTCCTATGCCCATCACGTGCGCAAGAGACTGCCGCAGGGCACTCTTCGAAGCATTGGCTCAGATGTAGCGCTCATTACAATGCTACAAGACTGCGCAGTTCTGGTTTGTGGAAACTGGGTCTTGAAATCCAAGCTGGCGAACTTCGAGGGTATGGAGGCGAATGCCAGGGACCTGCTGCTTTCCATCCTCAACAAGAGGGCAGCTTGATGCAATTTGTTTTAGAAGTATTTGCAACATGTGTCCCGAGCCCGAGCTCTCCAGTTCTTGGTGCCTTCCGATCTGTGGCCCACTGCACAAGCACTCGGAAGAATTTAAGACATTAACTAAGTATACTGGTGACGCAGGTTTAGGCTTGTGTGCGCTTCCCCGGTGACCCTGCAACGAAAGTGAGTCCATGAGTATCTGAAAACTCTCCCATCGGCGGAAGCTCCATTCTAAGTTTCGATGTAAAGTGCAGCTTGGGTGGCGAATCTGGGCACGAAACGGTCTGAGGCAGGGAGGCTACTACCTGCAGATGTTTCAAAGTGGAGCAGTGCCGGCACCTTAGGAAGACGACGCTGCAGTCCGGAAGTTGTGTTGACAGCCCTAAGGCCCTGATCACATGTCAATGCATCTGATGTCTTTTGGGGCTGTCATACCTTACTCCGGATATTCCCGGTTGCATTCGCGCTGCTGAGCCGGATTGTAGGCAACCAGTCCGACCAGGCGCGCAGCCGTCGTGCCCAGGCTTCAGTTAGGTCTGTAGCCGATCTTCCTCACGAATGGCACCCGCTGCCGAGGCAAAGTGTTACAGTTACAATGCCGGCCAGTATGCCGGCCATGTTCTCATGGTGTTGCATCGGTAGTTTGAAAACTCTGAAAGACGGTGCAGGTCATGTCCGCGCAGCGGCATCTGGGATGCAAGTTGTTGAGGGTCTGTTCCGACAGCGCACCAAGAAGGCATTTGGGGATGTGAGGCGGCATGACCCTACCGAGCCTGGCTGGGTCTCCTCCTATGCCATGCTGAGCCTTTGCAAGGCCGGGGCCGGGGCCGGACGGGGTTCGGGCTCCTTGGAGAGTTCGCTCAGGCACCCAGCGACAGCACCCGCAGCCCAACTCAGTCGGAGCCCTCTTCGAGCTGTCCGTCGACGCCACCCACCAGGTGCCTGGGAGAGGCTGCCCTGAGATCCTCTAATGTTCGTCGCATCAGGTGCAACAGCAAGCCTTTTGCTGCTAGACTACGGAGCTACGATTCCGTGGCCAATACAGAGATGTGGAAACATGGCATCACTTCCATGTCTTTATACCTGCAGCAACAGTTCGCCCCGGTCTATTCACATCAGAAGCGCGCAACAAAGCTGTATTATGGCAATTTCTCTCGCTGAGGAAATGGTTGTGGCTCGACTTCGCTGCGCCAGTGCAGGCGTCTGCGTCAGCCTTACTTTATGCCTCGGTACGGATGTGGTTGGGTCGATAGTGATTCTCGTTCATGCAAGAAGTAAACCTGAGCGACTGCACGGCTGATCGTCTTGGTGAGGGAGCGAAGAAATTCAGGTTGGAATGTCCGTCATCACAAGCACCCTTGCAGCCCTTGCATTTAACCTAACCGGCAAGACTTGAAGAAGCATGTTTGGTTCGGAAACAAGCCCGTAAACGGAACTCGGGAGGTTGGGCTGGAGCTTTCGGGACCAGGGGCCGGTCTTCGCAACAGCTGGCGCTCAGACTACAGACACAGGACTCAAGAACTATCACGTCGGTGAGGCCTGAGACAAAAGTATATGACAGTTCGAGAACAGGCAGAACAGGCGTGGTATCCTGGAGGGGGCACGAATATGAAATAAGCCCGAACTGCGTCTTGAACGACGCTGGCATTTGATTCATGCACAAACCGGGTGTGGCGACGACTTGGGGCCGTCTCAGGTTCCCCGGCTGATCAGGAAGTCCATGCGCAAGTGCTCTAAGCACGGAGCTGAGGGCGGTGGAAGCGTGGCGGACAGCATCTTGTCGCAGTCAGAGTCCGATGACCGATGTGACAAGGAGCTCTGCGAGTTTAGCGAGTCTGGACTCCATGGACATCGAGGGCCTTGACACCATCACCGAAGAGCCTCCCGCCTTGGCTTTAGTGCTCACCCGAAAGATTCGACCCAAATCCTTCGTCCCAGGCATAGCGTGGGCTTGTCACGCAACTCGCTGCTCGGGGAGGTGTCGCCAGCTTCGCTGAATCCCAGTGTCCCCGTCTCGCCCTCGCGCCCTCGCGCCCTCGCCGTGATGTCTGCCAGGGGTCTCTGGGAGCCGCTGTGTTTACTTTGGTCTCCTCCGCCATGGGCGCAGGTTGCCTTTCGTGCCGGGCTTGCCGGGCTGGGGGAGACTCAGAGTTGGAGAAGTGATGTTGGTCTGTGGGGCCGCTGCCAAGGCTTCCCTTCATGCTGAAGAACTCAGGCAGCTCGGCTCCGCAAAACGTCGGTTTTTCACGAGAACCGGATAAACGACGACATCTGACGCAAGGTATCATATCTGGACTGTTGATGCTGGGACTGGGGGCAGTCTTGGCGCACTTGTCGTTGGTCGTCCCTTGGAGCTGGCACTTGGCATGTGCTTCTCTGCTATGTCTGCAGACTACTATGCTGCGAGACAGCGTGACCTGCGAGGTTTTGATGAGCTGTGCCCGGTATACAGAGTCGGAAAGCAGCTTTGCAAGACAGAGGACGCATGTCATTGTGGCTCACGTTGTCTGGGAATCTGGAAGTTGAGGCATGGCCCAGCTCGTGGCATTGGCACGCGGGCGGGGATCCGGGCGCATCGTGGATGTGGTCATTGCTGTTTATGGGCCCCTGTGCCCCAAAAGTACCCACTGCTGTAGTCCTGTGCTCTGTCTCTCTTCATGAAGCCTCGTGAGCCTCATGAGCAAGAGCTGAGGATCTCGGCAGTTCTTTGTTACCTGATGTTCATCGGCGATTTTTTTCTTGGCATTGCTAGGCTCAGGCCTCAGGCAAGCCCTGCCTTGGCGCTAGGTCAGTAGGTGCCCGAGTCCGAGGTCGCCTCTCTTGGATCTGCAGGTCTCGAGGGAGACCCTCATAGCCTCTTGCCAGCAACAAGGGAGGGCTTCTGTTAATTCTGATGGCAACCAAACACGACTTTTGCTCGAAAGTGAGCCCCAACTCCGACCCAGAGGGGACAGGACGGGTCCCAGCCCCGGTGCCGCAGGTCTGCATTGCGGTCGCAGTGGTTTGGCCGCTCTCGCTGCCGCGGCGCCCTGGTGAAGAGACTCACAAAAGTGGAAGCAAAGACCTCCTCGCAACGGACAGCGGTTGCAGCTCAGTCGTAGCATGAAATTGTAGCAGCTCTGCTGTTGTCCGTAGATACAGCTCCAGAGAGCTGGAATTTAGTCTCTTTACTGCACATCCAACCGGTCAACGGCTTTCTGCGGTTCGCACTCAGGCGGCTCTCAGCCCTTCGATACGTTTGCTGCCCGGCGGAACATTGAAGAGATCTTCTGTGTATGTTGGGGGGGATGTTCCAAGCAGTGTATTGGGTTGCTGCCGCGTAGGAAAACGAAACGTCGTTCTAGCAGTTCTAGTGCGGAGTATCAACCTCTGAATGTTCCCTGGTGGAACGAGGTGTGTTGAGCGTGCTGGCCATCGGCCTCACTGCCTTGGTCGTTACCTGGCGAGCGCCGAGCTATGCTCAGCTCAGGAGCGAAACGATTCAGCACGCTGGCGATGCTTCTGTTCCATTTTGGGAATCATGTTGTAACAGGAGTGCGGCAGCTGAAACGGACGAGAAATGGCAGCTCGTCTGGTGGAACAGCGACCCGCACCTTGCCAGGCAAAAGGTGATGCAGTCGTGCACAAACCAACTGAGTCAGCACAAGATGAGGTACGCAGCTCTGCAGTCCTTCAGCATTGCCTTGTTTCCTGGCAGAGCTGAGCCATGATGCAGTAAGAGACATGCTTGCGCGCATTGCTGTATTCACACAGTGAAGCTTTCCATGATGCAGGTTTTCTTTTGCGGCGCACACGAATGCAGTACCTGTTGCTACTGCATTGAAGCAAGCGGATGGTGGAAGCATCTGGCGAGTCTCCCTGTATTCAGTGGCTTGGCACGGAAACAGCCTGGGAAGCCTGGGCATGGCAAAGAGCCTCGACTTAGGTGTGTATTGAGTTGGTCTTCTACACACTGATGGGCTTGGCTGGATATGTGCCCGGTCAGCATGTAAGCTGAAGCGACTCTCTTCAATCTAGTTCTATACGTTGCTTGCAGGGAACCGTGCTCTCCATGGGAGGGAGCAGTACTCGCATGTTCTTCGAAGGTCTCGTTTCGAGGATACACCGAGCAGGACTTCATCCTCAATTATCGAAATGATGACATGCTGATGTTCTTGGTGCGTGTCTTGTCTTCGAGAGCACAGAAGCCTGCTTCCCTTTCCCACCCCCCGGAGCTCCAAGCGCGTGTCCATGTTTGGTCAACCATGGTCAACTCCAGCTAGGACTTTGCCGCGTTTTTCTTGCAAGCACTGTGCAGCTGCTCGTTCCAGGTTGCATCTATGGCGTGGTCGTCTGCCTCGGAGCACCGATCAACTTGTCACCCGCCGCACAGGGCTTAGCCATTCCTCAAGATGGCTCTGGCTATCGAAAAGCGCAAGCGCAAGTGCTGGTGAGGCCTCAAGCATTTTGGGTCTCCTGGGCAGCGAGCGCAGGACCCCCAAGAGGCCGCGGGTGTGCTTCAGTTTTCGGCATCCAAGTCAAGTCTGTACTGACCTGCCACACTTTGCCTCTTGCAGTGCGAGGCACTTCATCGTGGTCACCACAATCATCGCACCTGCGCTAAAATTCAGCGAAGCTGATACTATCGTTGCATTGCAGCTTCTTCTGCTGGGTCCCCTGCAGGCCAGCTGCGTCTGCGTGGCGCTCTGGAGTGAGAAGGTGGCAGACGTGATCGGCCTGATTGGTGCCAGCTTTGGCTCGCTGATCGCACAGAACTCAGAGTCTTGGTGGTCTGCATTCTTCAGAATCTTGGTTCTAGATCGTGACACCCTCCTTGCAATGCACATTCAGTCAACTTACATGAAGGGCCCGTCGAACGTCTCGAGGTGCTGGCATGGCCCGCTATGATCTATCGCCAGGCTATGTTCGACACTTGTCCGAGTTCATGTCGGCAAGAGGCGATACTTTCAGTTTCCCGAGAATGAGATGACCCACGTGCATTATTCAAAAGCTGAAACATTCTGTCGGGGACCTACAGTAACATACGGTAGTTTCGTGCAAGAGCCGAGGACTTGCACCCCAGGCGCACGGTCCTCAGCGGCGTGAGGTTCTTTCAAGCCCCAGGCCGTGGCTAGCGAGGCAAATCATCAATGCTAAGCTCAGGTCTCGCGAATGCCATCTTCTATTCGCTGGCCTTTGCAGCCTCATTAGGCCCTCTGTACTTGGGCATGCAGAGGGGCTCCAGGACATCAGGAACCCAGGCCAGGCGCTACCTGTTAGCCTGGAAGGCTTGACTTCTTTCGTGGTGCAGACGCTGCGCTCCTTGGATGCATCGGAACAGCCCCACACGGTGCAAGAGCTCTGTCTCATCCCAGGTGCATGGAGCTGAAATGCTAGAGCAGGCCACACGATATGAGTGCACTTCTATACTCTCCAGCTTTGCAGCTGGATCAATCCAAGCATTTTTGATCATTGTAGGTCCGGGAGCTCGCTCCCGGCACCTTGCAGTAAAGTCAACCCTGGGCACCGTGAGCGAGTCTTCACAGTGTTCTTTCGCAAGACATGATCCTTCTTGAACCCTATCGAAGCATCCGGCATAGATTATATGAAACTGGCTCGTCACGTTGTTAGCGAGCCTGAGTCACCAACGATTGCTCTTCAATGTAGTCCTCCGAAGCGAAGTACACAGCACATTTTGTCTTCGCAGTGCGTGGCTCCTTCAAGCTCGTGATTTGTAACCGCGAAGCGGTGCCGCGTCGGCAAGTTTTTCAGCATAGCAAACTTCCGATGAATTCAGGCACGGTGATGGGTGAAGAGAGGTACCAAGCTAAGCCATATTTCGAGCAACCAGGTGCGGGAAGCGTTCCGCACGGCCTCATGGAACAGTCTTGCAGGTCTCTGTCGGTCTCTGCTGTGAGATCACATTGGCTGGTCTGTCCTCGCTCCGCCCAGTCACGGGGTGTGCAAAGTGGCCTTCAATCTTCCGATTGCTGCCGGCCCGTCAGCGCACGTTCGGTGCGGGTCTGCAGCATAGGCACGTTCAGGAACGGCCGGAGCCCCCTCAATCCGCTTTCTCGCTTTCTTGCCGGAGAGACTTGCGACCCTACAAGTCCAAGATCTTTCGGGCAAGCCTGCAAAATCCTTTTCAGACTTTCTAAGAAGAAAGCATGTGGCGTGGCAATTGGGAACGAACAGGGCTAGTATACAGGCATTCAGACGGCCAGACTCCTTTTGATGTAAACAGCTGCAGCTCTTGACGTCCCCATTGCCCTAAGTCGTCTGACGTGCGACGAGCATGGCATTGGGATTTTTGCTTCAGTCCCGGCCCGATGCTATATCAAAAAGATCATGCAGATGCTGCGCTGCGTGTCAGTCAAGAGTGCTCGTCTTGCTTCTCCGAAAGATGCCAAAAGTCTTTCAGTCAAGTGTCTAGCTTCTTGTGCCTGCCCTCCAAGGTCTTCCAGCAGACAGTTGCAGCAGATGCGCTCCGAGAGATAGTTCGCAGTGTGCTGCAAGAGTCCGAGGCAGTCCGATTGTCCAAGTCCCTGAGGGAAGAATATGTCCTTGGACCTTTCGAGTGCAGGACAAGCAGTACTGGAAGATGAAGGCCGAACCCGATCAGGACTGAGGGTGCGTTGCGCTCCGAGGAGTCTGAGACGGTCAGGCTTCCAGACTTCGCCTGCGAGTCCTGCTAGGACTTCATACATCGATACTCCGAGCTTGTGAGAGAGTCTGATGACTGGTCCGCAGCTCATCTTCTGCTGTGGCGAAGTGTTCTTTGGAATAGCGGGTGCCGAGGTGAGTTAATGTTCATGGCTTAATAAAACTCATGACGCATGAGCCGGTGTCTTGCAGATGCTCCATTGAGTTACCTGGTGTGCAATCACTTTGTTACATCTAGCCAGCATCCTCTCTTGACGATCAGAAAGCAAGATGCCAGCAAATTCGTTGCAGCCCCGAGCGCTCGCTAGATTATCCGCGGTGCAGCACGAGAAGACACGCTTTGCTAATGCACGACTAGTGACCAGTGCACGACTTTCCCAGGCTCGAGTCTCGTCGCGCGGAAGTGATCAAGGCAGCATCTGCACACGCTCCGTGCATGCTCCTGCGCTTTTGCTGTGCTGGCAGGCCGGCAAAGAGAGCATCCCCGGCGGACTTCGGATTTTGCGGCCTTGCAGAGCCTCGCAGTCTGAGTCGGGCCATACTCTGTAGCGGCGTGGCAGGCTCTGGGGGTGCCACCGGGAGCAGGCTTCAGGCAAGGCGGCCGCGACCCTCTCGCTGTATCGAGACCTTGCTGGTAGCCTGGCAGGCCTCAGCTGGAGCAAGTTCCAGGATGCGTGCCCGACTGCTGCCGGAGGCTGGGCCATGAGAGCCCGGTCAGCAGGGCATCCGACAGTGAGCTACTAAGGCACGCGAGGCACTCCTATCAGGGCCCAAGACCACGGAGGAGTTGAAAAGGTGGCCACAGTTGCGAGCAGGCGATGCCACAACATGCCCCCGTTTCGCTAGGCTTATCCAACGAAAGCATCCAACGGAGGAGATCCGAGAGGTCGGGATGCCCTTAGCCATGTAAAAGGCAAAAAAAAAAGAACTTTGGCCGCAGGAAGACTTGCTGGGTGTCCTTTCCATGGAGGAGCTGGATGCGCTCCAGGCATCGCCCTTCAACCCTCACGGAAAATCCTGGTACTCGCATCCCTTTCTAACCAGGTCCGTGGTGTTTGGGTCCTTGCTCGCACTGGCACAGAGTCGCACGACAAGTTCCGCAAGACCCTGTCGCGACCTTTGCGAAGCAGCGAGTTCAGGAATCTTGCGTTACACGGAGCATCCCAGGCTCTCGCTCTTCCGCCATCGCGACTCTGTCACTCGACAGGAGGTGATGGTCGGAACCTGAGATGCACGAGAGCCAGTGAAAGCTGATTCAGCAAGAGGAACCCATGGCAGGAAGAGTATCAGCAGACCTATGGCGAAAGGCAGCTGCGATCATTTCACCGCAAGAACCAGACAATCGCCGGGCCTAATTCTTGCCTGCAGGTGCAAGTTGAGCGACTATGTTGTGCGGCAGCAACTGCGAGAAATTGCTGAAAAAGTGGAAGATGGTGCGACACCAAGGTTGTTGATGGTTAGACACTCCGGCATAGGATGAGGTATGTGCCCAAAGTGCTTCTGTGGCGCCAGTGTGGCGCCACAGCTGCTGTGCCAGCGGTGGTCGGTCCTGCATCTTAAGGACCTCAAACCGTCTACATAGTGAAGGGTGCTCTTCAGACCCGGTGAGCGAGCCTTACTCAAGTTGTACAAAAGCGGGGCACGACAAAGATGCAGAAGGGAACTGCTGCAAGAAGGAGCAGTGTCCTCGATGCTGCCCGTGACGTGTGACCGGTCACTCCGCTTTCACAGCGAAGCGGATCAGAGAACAAATGCTGTTTCATGCTCGACATGACTGCCATGTACAAGACACCATCGAACGTGCCAGGTCCTTGCAACAAAGGAAGAGGCCGCCGTGTTGTGTTGCGGATGGGTTTGGCTTCAAAACTATCTCGTGACTCTGTCTCGTCAAGGACTGGCTTAGTGTGCGATGATGTTGAAAGGCTGCTGTGGAGTACCCTTGCTTTCGGCTCTTCTTGTCCAGAATGCAGAAGCAAATTATGCTTTCTATGGCACGAGCAATCCTCACACGGCTCCTTGCCGAGTAGACAAGCTATAACGAGCTCACTTACACAGTCACGGGGGCGGTTTTTCGAATTAGCAAAGACGCCCTTTGAAGCGTCTTGCCCACTTGGCCATGGCGATCGAAGAGCGCGACATGAACGCCGCTTTTCGGAATTTGTTGCCTTTATTACCGTGTGCGAGAGCCTACGAGCCTGCCCCATCTGGTGTCCCAGGCGTGGCAGTTTTCAGCTTTTCCGAGCGCGCCCTTCAATCCACCACCGTTGCAGGCGGGACCCCTAGCTTCTCGTGCTCGGAAAACGGCCACGTGTGTAGCACTGGCAACACCTGAAGCATTCCTGGGGTATCTAGGTTTTGAGTCTAAGCGTAAGCGGCCCATTCCGTTTTTTCACGATACCCACCAGAAACAGCTTCGTTCGTTTCGTTCTAGTGTCGGAGTGCAGGCGAAGCCAGGGTGGAAGACGCTGGAGGCCAGCCTGCTTTGCAAATCTGAGCAGGCACCAGTCAGCCAGCCCAGCCGAACAGTAACAAGCCCGACGCTCGAAGCTCTGTCAGTGTGCAATCGCACACCCATGCCAGACTGAGCTGCAGCATCAGTCCCGATATTGCTTGCACCTCAGGGTGGAAGCCGAGGAGTGTGTGGGAATGTCGGCATGCCTTTTGTTTGCCAAGGCCACGACAAGATCCAGGGTGATCTTGACTCCCTGCATGCCCAGGCCACTGCCATGGATGTCTAAGACTCACGACATGTTAATAGCCATGTCGTAGAGAAGCCCTCACACTGGCCTTGGCCTCTTACAGGCATGCAAGTACGTCTAGTCGGTGTTACCGCGGTCAGCTTAAGCATGGCAGCATTCCTCAATCCAGGTTCTCAACGAGGTCCACACTGCCGTGGCGCAGGTTCGGCACTGTTTCAGTCTGTGATCTGCCTTCGAAACGGAGTCCAGCTGCCCAGCAGTCTTCAGCAGGAGATCCAAAACTCTGCTCGAGGCCTGCACGCCTTGAAAAGTCAGGCGGCGATGGAAATTGTGCACCGGCCCAGCAGACCCCGCCCCTTTTTCCGCTTATTGCTTGGAGGTCAACTCCGACCTCGACAGATTGCAGTCTTCAGTCAGCGCAGACCCAAGAGACAAGCGAAGCGATCACGGCTGTTGCAGACAAGTAGGAGCCCACCTGAACCTTTCCAAGGTGAACTCTCCAAGGACACGGAGTGCCCTTCCGCACGCTTGGAAGTGCTTCTCCGTATCCGAAGACCGCTTCAGCCAATTCTTTCGGAGATGCTTTACATCTGCCATGCTGAGCAGCACGGAAGCTCAACATGCTACTCCGAAGAAACGCTATACCAGGCTTCTGCGTATGCAGCGGGATCGGGACAATGAGGAAGTGGCGGGAGCCATCATCGAGGCCCTGGAAGAAGAGCTCTGCTGCAAGTGTCGCGCGAGAATTCACAACAGCGGTCAGAAGTTCGGCTCAAGGCTTAGCTTGGGGGGTTCTGGCTCTCCCACGTAAGATTAAGATGGTGATCACAGAGCCATGCGCAGCGCTCCGTGGCCAAGCCATGCATGCAAGCGCTTCGTAGTGACACTTGATTGCACTGCGCCACCTTGCCGCCGGAGCTCGGTTCATGTGGGAGCTCGTAGTAGGCTGATGATGGCATGCTCCGTGTACACGCTGCCGAAAGGCCGAACTGCGGCACGTCAAAGTCCGAAGTTTTGGTTTTGCACATGGGTGCATGATGCGGTAGCCGAGTAGGGTAGCAATCCTCCAGCTCATCCAAACCTCGCTGGTAAAGCTTACAGCAGACCAGGTACTTTTGCTCGGCAAATGACTGCGGATAATTTTCGGATGCTCTCTTTTTTTCTTCTCTCTCTCTATCTCTCTCTGACAAACTGATGTGCGCCCGTCAGGAAGCTGATGGAGATGCGAACATCTGGATTAAGGTAAAGGGTGTTAGCAGCTCGGCTGAATTTTGTAAGTTGTGGCGCTTCGGTAAAACCAGTTCACGCATCTGGTTAGCTAGCATCATGTGATGGCACTTGCTGCATGAGTCGAAAGGTGACCATGAGCTTCTGCGCATTCAACTCGCGGCCAAGACGCGAGCATCCGGGAGGCAAATGGAAGAAAGGCTACAACGAGAGCTCTTGAAAGCGACTTCCACGACCCAGCCTACGACTAGACATTGTTTGCATCGCGGGATCGCCCGGTAGGTAAGTATGTAGCTTCGGCCACAGAGCACATGGTGAGAGAAGAGCTGATGCTGCAAAGATCCGTTCCACGTCCCTTGCATGGCTCTGGTCCGAGGTAGTTGATCTGAAGCAGCAGCCCCTTGGTCACATGGGACTTACGCGGTTCGTCTTAATTTTGTGTTGAAAAGGGGCGCCTTCGGGCTGAGGCTGTCTTTGCTTCTTCGTGTGTCGGCCGACGATCAGCATCTGGCTTGGTCTCGGCAGCTGCTGAAGGACCGCCAGCTTCCAGCGATAAGTCCGTTGTAGATCCCAGTGGCAACGAGCACGGAGAATCTGAGAACTGTGCTGATGTTCCGCACGTATTATTTTCGACACTGGACATCTCTGTGCTTGCCCACTCCACCTCCTCAAAGGTCGCACGCTGCCTGTTCTGCTTCGTGGAAAGTAATGCTTCGTAGAAACTACATCTGCTGGACGATCCTCCGACTGCCCTTATTAGCTCCTGGGGGCCACTGCGAAATGGACCGCATTGCAGAATGCACGCATGATCATGGAGCAGACTCAATGTTCAAGCCCGCAGAAGGTGTGTATGTTGGAACATATGTGGACAACATGTCATGCAACGCATCAGGCAGAAACTGGAATTCCCCAGTCGGGGCTCTGTGCAGCATGTCACTCTCATTATAATTATAGTATACAGAAAGCGTCACCCTCAGGGCCCGGTTTTGTCGTATTCGCAAAGAACCGAATTTTAAGTGCTGTCTTAAAACAAATATCACAATTGAAATGAACGGCCCCGAACGGCGTCTGATAAAGAAAGAACGTGGAGCTTATCCGGGAAGAAAGGCCTGCCTTCCGCCCGTTGTGCTCTTGCCTATGGCTTTTGGGAAGGGGGGAGGGGGGGAGGCCAAAACCATACTAAAAACCTGAAAAAAAACGCTCGTTTACTCGAGAAAAGCGGGCCCTCACGCCGACGCACACTCATAGTATAATGGGCCCCCCAAAACCCTATTCTAATGACTGAGGCACCTATATTCTAGTACCCTACTATAGATCCCTTACGGTAACCCCTTTAAAGGTAATAGCCCTGAGGATGATGAGCGACTTGGTGAGCTTGTGGCACTGATGCAGGCAAGTCTAACGGACAGATGAGTTGGGAGTTTCCAAAAATAGGGGACCCTAATATAGTACCCTGAACAGTGGGATCCTTATTAGGAGGACCCCAAGATAAGCTACCCCTCATTTTCGGAATCTCCCAGCTGCCACACTGCCAGACCTGAGTTGCATGGTCGCACAGGCGGAGGTTGAGCTGTATGGCATGCTAGCCTCGGATCTGAACACGGAGGGGATCAAGACGAGCCTAAGCTTGTTCCAGGAACAGCGTACCCGGGCCTGAGCATTGGGACTTTTCAGCTAAGGGACTCAACCGGCCTGGATCTTGTCCTTTTCGTGGCACCGGGCTTCTATGACGTTCGGGTGCCCGAGGAGTGGGAGTGCGGCAGTGAAACCGCTGGTCAGTCCGGCGCACACGTTCCAGGAGCGCAGCAGCCCGGGCTTCTTGCTTCCCAAGCTCTCCTTCTCCTTCCCGCAGCTTCCCCTTGCACAGCGAATCTTCGTTGAGGATGTAGAGACAGGCCTGAAGATATGCATCTCCGATGCATCGCGAAAGCATATCACGGCCCGCCCGGGCATAGCTAGAGGTTCCTGGGCCGAGCAAGCTGGCGTTCGCCCCGGTGACGAGATCCTGACTTTGGGTGGTCGTCGCTTTGTGGCAGTTGGTTGATCGCCGATATTTTTTGCCCGCCGCACACAACTCCTGGCTTTCTGAAGACCTTTCGTGCAGTGTGGCTCAGGGCCACTGTAGAGCTGTGACTGTGGAGATCAGGCCGGGTGTCCAGCCTGGCACGGGGCGAGCAAGCGCCCCAGCGACCGCAGCAGAAGCAAACAGGAAAGTCCGAGACTTGCCGATGAAGATGAGGTTCAGTGAGCTGCTGGAGCAGACCATGTGCAAAAGCGGCATGATCCAGCTTGATCCTCGGATGCCTCCGGCAGAAAGCCAACATTTTCGGGCTTAGGCGCTCCTCCTAATGATCTGCAACTGCACATTGGCATTGACGTGGCATCAAAAGCGAAGTTGAGGTTCTACAGGGGCGGGCTCGAGTCGTACTTTCCTGGGAGCTGCATGGCATGCAACAAAGGTTTGCACGTCGGTATGGAAGCACTCTGGGTTCAGAAGCACTAGATTATGCCTAAACACAGAGCTCCTGCCTGCGACAGAGTGCGACTCCTCCTACTGACTAATGCTTGAAGCATCAACACTGCAAGGCTTCTCTTCGAATGACATTACCGGTGGCAGCGTGGAAATGAACTCCGTGCTTTGACGTGACTGGTACCGTACTCTACGGTTTCGGACCATTCTGT